AATTTTATCTGCAAACTTGGATTTTCAGAACAATTTCCATGTGAAATAATTTTGATGTGTGTAGTTTTGTTATCTGTTTTTAAATTATCTTTAAGAAGCTTATTCACTTGAATTGCCATGCACAAACATGCCTTCTCTTTCATTGGCCATATTGATTTGATTTAATACACTTTAGCGCAGTACAAAGAAGTGAATGGTGTCCTTTGTTTCATTCTGACTACTTACCGCATGGTGCCTTTTCGCTATTGGGTTGAATCACTTTTTATCTGAACTGAGAGTTATAACTACAAGAAAATTACAGTTGGAATTTAACATAAGCAGTTGAAGCTGGGAATGGAGGGGGACATGCTTAAGAGTTCTGTAAGAGACGTTCTGTAGTCATTTTCAATGACTGTTGCAACCTAATAGTCCAGTATTTCTCAACCTGGGGGTCGGAACCCTGGGCGGTCGCGAGGGGTCACCAAAGACCATAATAAAACACAGTATTTTCTGTTGGTCATGGGTGTTCTGTGTGGGAAGTCTGGCCCAATTCTATCATTGGTGGGGTTCAGAATGCTCTTTGATTGTAGGTGAACTATAAATCCCAGCAACTACAACTCCCAAATGTCAAGGTTTATTTTCCCCAAACTCCATCTGTGTTCATATTTGGACATATGGAGTATTCGTGCCAAGTTTGGTTTAGATCCTCCATTGCTTGATTCCACAGTGTTCTCTGGATGTAAGTGAACTACAACTCCAAAACTCAAGGTCAATGTACATCAAACCTTTCTAGTGTTTTCTGTTGGTCATGGGAGTCCTGTGTGCCAAGATTGTAGGTTAACTTTAATCCCAGCCACTACAACTCCCAAATGACAAAATCATGTGTTTTGTTTTGTTTTTTTGGTGTGATGGTCACTCCTTGGATTAGTAGGTTTTTTGTGGCCAAATTTGGGGGCAATTAGTCCAGCAGTTTTTGAGTTATGATGTCACCCAAAACAAACAGAACGAACACACACACATACACACATATATATATATCTGACTGTACTATCTATATATTTTTACTATCAATATATCTCCAATGTGGTGTGAAACCCTGTACTCTTTCTAACCCTCTGTTTCCTTCTGTTCCTAGTCTCTAACTCAGGGGTCCTTAAACTACAACTCGCGGGCCACATGTGGCCCACGGAGGGCATTTATCCAGCCTGCCAAGGAGGCCTTCCTCTCAGTGGAATCAGTCTTGGCTCTGCTAACGCAGAGCTTCTCTCGTTCTTTCTGTCTCCCCTTCATGCTTTTGTTTTGATGTTCTGCCACTTGGTCTCCCAATTGCTCCTCTTGCTTTACCAAGTCTATGACTGTTGTGGTGGCCCATCTTTCCCCAGCGGCATCGAAGTCTATCTGAGTATCAATGGCTGGTTACTGCTAGCTAAATCAAAACCCCTGCTTCCTTCTCATACCGGTTTATCACTCCCTAAGTCTGATTGCCAACAAAGAGAACACATGACTTCAACTACAACTGCGACACCTCAGTTGTTGCTCTGACTCCAGCCATACTGGCATGGTTCTCAATTCAGTTGCTTCAAGGATGATCTTCATACCTTCTTTGAGACGTCGAGAGGTGTATCAACCTCTTTGATGGCTGACCCATCAAAACAACATCTGTACTGTTTGCCCTTCGGACTGCCAAATTCTTCCAGAATTCTAATTACGGTTTCCTCCCTTCGGAATTGGGGTACACATTTGGAGGGCCTCATAGTCCAGGTCCTCACAGACAATGTTGCCACCAAATTCTTATAAACAAGCAAAGTGAGACACACACTTTCCACTTAGATCATTAACCATTCATCTATGGGACTGGTGCATCGACAGATGGATCTACCTTGTGGCGGTACATCCTGTAGACAAAAATACGTTCACCATAAATAAGTTGCCTGGGCAAGACACCAGTCATCCATCACGAGTGGTCCTCCATTCTGACAAGGTATGGTGTGTATCCAGACTATGAGGCAACTTATTATTACCATATTTATACCCCACCTTTCTTAATCCCGAAGGGGACTCAAGGCAGCTCTACACATAGGCAACTATTTGATGCCTCTTAGAACAATGTACAATTAAAATAAATATTTTAAAATAGATTTTAAAGCAATCGTAATCTGGGCCATTCCTTGGAAATGGATCTAGTCACAACATGGAGATGGATCTGGTCACAGCAAAGGATGTCGCTGAGTCCCCCTTTGTGTTCTGTGTGAGTCAGCGGGGCTACCGCCTTAAAGTGTCTAAAAGATCGCTAGAAGATTCCGAAGCTGTCTGTGCATGCGCAGGAAATACCATATGTGCGAATTTCACAGGTGACCACTCGGCGAAACATGGTTACAGGTAAGCAACCTTTACATTTAAGACTTTAGCACCAAAACATTGCAATGTATTGAAACAGCTGTGGATCCAGGCAGGAGGCAGCCTGCATTGGATAATACAGAACGTTGGATGAGTGAAGGTTGGATAAGCGAGACTCTACTGTATGTTTTAGTATGTGCATTCTACATAATTAAAAAATAATTTATGGGTTTTGATTATGTGTTTTAGCAATGTTGTAACCCGTCTTGAGTTGTGAAGAGAGGCGGGTAAGAAATAATTTTAAATATATTATTATTAGTATTATCTGTACCTCTCTCCCCTGCTTACTTGCACTTCCTTTAATTGCCATAGTAACCCTGTAGTAGTATGGGATTTGCAGTCTAGTGATGCCCAAAAGTTCTCTGGCTGAGAATGCTAATTGCCCTTTGACTAAAATACATCATGGGCATAACATGATGGGATCAACATAACCTGGAAACAACTTGCACACATACAATGACAAAAAGACACATCCTGGAATTCTAGGGAGGTAATAAAGTGGCATCATCATCTATATAAATAAAAATGAAATGTTCGTTTGTGGGATTAACATAACTCAAAAACCACTCGACTAATTGACACCCAATTTGGACACCTATCAGGCCAACGAGTGTCCATCACCCCTAAAACTGTCACAAAAAACCCAGCAGAACGGGCTTAACCCCTCCCCCCCAATAAACTATATATACATATACACATACACTCATATACATATACACATGCACACATTTATTTATTTATTTACTTATTTAAATTATTTCTATCCCGCCCATATCAGCCCGGAGACGACTCAGGGCGGTATACATAGTCGGCACAATTCGATGCCATAAAAATACATACATTAATAAAGCAAAAGCATTAAAGTGCATTTAAACATAAAGACAGTGCATAACAATTTAAAAAGAACTATGTCCTCTCGTTCAATTCTCATCCGTTCCATTGTCTTAGTCGTTCCTGGGTCATTTTCCAGCTCTAGTTTGTCTATTTATTCCGGGGTTCCGATTGCTTGCTCGAAGAGCCAAGTTTTTACTCGTTTTCGGAAAGTCAGGAGGGAGGGGGCTGATCTAATATCCCTAGGCAGGGAGTTCCACTGCTGAGGAGCCACTACAGAGAAGGTCCTGTCTCTCGTCCCCGCCAGATGTGTGGGATCAAGAGCAGGGCCTCCTCAGACGATCTTAAGTTCCTGGAGGGTTCGTAGGAAGAGATGCGTTCAGAGAGATAGATACAGACACACACACACAGATGTGTACACACAAGCACACACAAATATACGCATACATATACACATGCATACATACATATTTACATATACATATGCACACATATACATATAGACATACATACACACATATATACACAATATATATGTATATACACATATAAACACAGAAATGCACAAATATATACACACATATGCACACACATATGCACCCATCTATCTATCTATCTATCTATCTATCTATCTATCTATATCTGTATCTATCTATATCTATATACTAGCCGTCCCCTGCCACGCGTTGCTGTGGCCCACTCTGGTGGTCATGGGGGTTCTGTGTGGGAGATTTGGCCCAATTCTATCGTTGGTGGGGTTCAGAATGCTCTGTGATTATAGGTGAACTACAAATTCCAGCAACTACAACTCCCAAATGTCAAGATTCTATTTTCCCCAAACTCCACTAGTGTTCGCATTTGGGCACATTGAGTATTCGTGCCAAGTTTGGTCCAGATCCATCATTGTTTGAGTCCACAGTGTTCTCTGGATGTAGGTGAACTACAACTCCAAAACCAAAGGACACTGCCCACCAAACACTTCCAGTATTTTCTGTTGGTCATGGGAGAACTGTGTGCCAAGTTTGGTTCAATTCCATCATTGGTGGGGTGCAGAATGCTCTTGATTGTAGGTGAACTATATATCCCAGGAACTACAACTCCCAAATGACAAAGTCAATTTTTTTGAGTGAAGAACATACATTGGGTTGTTAGGTGTCTTGTGTCCAAATTTGGTGTCAATTTGTCCAGTGGTTTTTGAGTTCTGTTAATCCCACAAACGAACATTACATTTTTATTTATATAGATATATGCAAACACACATACATACACATATACACAAATACACACACACACACACACAAAACATATACACAGACTGGGCCACAGCAACGCATGGCAGGGGACGGCTAGTATCACTATAATAATGTTGTATAGTGACTCCACTCACACTGCATTGTTGTCATTTTGAGTATGGAACCTGTGATCTGCAGGTGTAGACTTCTCAGCCAGAGAGCTCTAATGTCCCTCTGCACACTTTTAACACTCCAAGGATGGTTAAACCGGGATCACAGCGCTGTAACAGTGGAAAAGAGTAGGATCCAAACACTGAGAATAAACCAGACCCCCAAATCTGGAGGCAAAAGTCCCTGGACCCCTCTTAGACTCCTCCAATCCCTGCACACCCAAACCCACTTGGAGGCTTCTCCTGCACTCACCTGTGTCTTTTGCAAGCAATGCCTCCAGGCGGTGCAAAGACCAGGGAGGAGGATGCAAGGCAGGCTTTTGCAATCTCTCTGTGTGCAAGCCAAGGAGGGAGAGGAAGGGGAGGGCAAAGTGGGGCAAAGGGCGAAGGCGTGGAGGCTGCTCCCTCCCGCCCCTTTCTCCCTCTGCAAAGGACAGGCTTCCTTCCTGTCTTGAGGCTTTTAAGGGAAGGGGCAGCAGCCATGGCTCTCCTAAGAGGTAAGCCTTCCCTTGACTTCCAAGGCTTTTTGCATTTTATTGTGTGACTTTTATTGCAGCCCTGGGGTTGGCCTGCATGCAAGCAAAGCCCGCCTCCTGCCTCACATTTATTTCCTTTGCAGGTTCTTTATGGCCTTGCTTTCGCCCTGCATCTTGCATGCAATTCTCAGTTTCTTTTATATATACTTTTTGGATCTTGCAGGAATGCAAACCCAGCCCCATTCCTCTCTGTATTTGCAATTCCTTTGACTTCCTTGCATGGTCAAATTTTAGCTCAATTCCTCTCTTTATTTGCAGTCCCTTTGACACATTTGTATCACTTTATTTTCGCCCCATTCCTCGCTTTGTTTGCAATCCGCTTTTCTTTGCGTCTCCCCCCCCCCTTTTTTTTTTGTAGGATCCTGGGAGTTATAGTTTTCCAAGGTCTTCTTTAGCAAGGAGTGCAGGGCCTCACCAAACGACAACTCCCAGAATCCCATAGGATTGAAACATGGCAGTTGAAATGTTATCAAACTGCATTCATGCTATAGTGTAAACACATGTAAACTGGTGTCAAACTGCACTCATGCTAAAGTGTAAACACATTTAAACTAGTGTCAAACTGCCCTCATGCTATAGTGTAAAAAAACTGCACTCATGCTAAAGTGTAAACACATTTAAACTGGTGTCAAACTACACTCATGCTAAAATGTAGATGCTGTCAAACTACATTCCATGTACTAGCCATTCCCTACCATGCGTTGCTGTGGCCAAGTCTGGTGATCTGGAAAATAAAGTAATGAGAAAGTGTTGGTTTCTAACTTTGAAGTCCTGTCCTGTCCCCCCAGATGAGAAAAGTGATAGATAAATGCAGTACACCAAAAACAGTATCAAATAGAATGAATGCAGTTTGGATTCCACTTTAGCTGCTATGGCTCAATGCTATGGAATACTGGGATTTGTAGTTTGGTAAGACACCAACAGACCCCCTGGTGGTGCAGCGGGTTAAACCGCTGAACTGCTGAACTTGTTGACCGAAAGGTTAACAGTTCGAATCCGGAGAGCGGGTGTTAAGCCCAGCTTCTGCCAACCTAGCAGTTCGAAAACATGCAAATGTGAGTAGATCAATAAGTACTGCCTTGACGGGAAGGTAACAGTGCTCCATGCTGGCCACATGACCTAGGAGGTGTCTACGGACAACGCCGGCTCTTCGACTTAGACACGACTAGACTTAATGCCAGGGGAAACCTTTACCTTTACCAAGGCACCAACACTTTTTGACAGAAAAGGCTAAAGGCCTTTCAAAACTACAACTCCCACAATTCCAAAGTATTGAGCCATGGCAGTTCAAGTGGTGTCAAAGTGCATTAATTATAAAGTATAGAGGCACACAAAGTTTGACAACAGGAACAAATCAGCTACACGCTAGCCTTACCCGCTCCAAATTTATCTAATCTAGAAAGCCACTGAACTTTAGACCTATTTTCTGCATTTTTCCCAATGTTAGGATACTCCTTTTGAAGTACAGCAATCTGAGCTTACTATACTATTCTAAGTGTAATTGCACAATAGATTTGTATCCAGGCATAATCCTAAAGTGAATATTCCCTTGTTGATTTGACTTTCTCAGCAGGATCCATTTAAAGACCAGGTGAGAAATTTAGCCCCATGGGATCCATTTGGAGCCCGCACGCATGGCTGTTTAAACACTATGTTGTGGACAGAAGTAGCACACTATCATTTTAGATTCCTCCTCTCTTTCTTTATCTTTCTTTTGTTTCATGAAGGACATTGCTGGGTTTTATATTGAAGCAAGCCATCCTGACCCATTGACATGCACTGAGATTTGCAGAGTATAGGTTTCCTAGAACTATATTAACTTTTATGGTGCACGTCTTTCTTTTTCGTGACCCTGCAGCCAGCTTGCATGTTGAGATGATCAACGATGATAGTTTTATCATCCACATGGTTTATGTAATCCCCTGCTACTCAATAGACACAATTTTATCACTCCTACAAAATATCTATGTTTTTCTTATTGATTACATGGAATTGAGCCTGTTTTTTTCTTATTCTCTCTGTTGTCCTTGATTGAAATGGAAGGTTATTGGGTCACTTTCTTGTAGAAGGGATCATAGCTTCTGTTTTCTGTGCTTCTCTAGGTATAGCTAGGAAAAATACATTACTAAAACCCTATAAAGCCCTAGCTCTCAGTAAAGTGTGGACAAAATAACGTATATACTCAAGTATAAGTTGAGTTTTTCAGCCCTTTTTTAGACTGAACCCCCCCCCCCCCGGCTTATTCTCGAGTCAAGGTATTTATTATTTCACTCTGTTATTATTATTATTTTCATTACATTTATTATTTTACTCTATTATTATTATTTACATTATTATATTATTATTTTTATTACATTTATTGTTTTACTCTATTATTATATTTATTATTTTTCTGTACTTATTGTTATTATTACATTTATTATTTTACTCTATTATTAATGGTATTACATTTCCATTATTTTCCATTATTATTTGAAACACAACAAGATGAGTCCACAGCAGATACTCTGCTAGCTGTTGTATTGGATCACATGTCAGACACTTCCCAAGTGTCTAGGACTGTGTGATGTATCGGCGAATAATATGTGCAAATCCCAGTAAGGTGGCCTTCTGCAGTTGGCAGATGGTAAGTTTGTCAGCGCTGATTGTGTTTAAGTGCAGGCCAAGGTCTTCTCGGCAGTGGCCCCCCACCCAGTGTGCTGATCACCACTAGGACCACCTCTACTGGCTTGTGCCAGTGTCTTTGCAGTTCGATCTTTAAATCCTCATATTGTGTCAGCTTTTCCAGTTGTTTCTCTGCAATCCTCCTGTCACCTGGGATTGCAACATCTACAATCCATACTTTGCTTTTTAACACGATTGTGAGGTCAGGAGTGTTATTCTCCAGAACTCACTCTGTCTGAATTCAGAAGTACCAGAGGAGTTTGACATGTTCATTTTCTGTAACTTTTTCCGGCTTGTGATCTTTGTTCTTTGTCGCAGGCAGATGGTATTTGTGGCACAAGTTCCAATGAATCATCTGAGCAACGGTGTTATGCCTCTGCTTGTAGTCTGTCTGCGCGATCTTCTTGCAGCAGCTCAGGATGTGATCTATTGTTTCATCTGCTTCCTTGCAGAGTCTACATTTGGGATCTGTCGTCGACTTTATTATTATTATTATTATTATTATTATTATTATTATTATTAGAAACACAACAAGATTAGTACACAGAAAACAAGATCACTATTCTGATTGTTGTATTATTATTATTATTATTATTATTATTATTATTATTATTCATGCACCCTAATAATAATAATAATAATAATAATAATAATAATAATAATATAAAACTTTATTTGTACCCCCCTACCATCTCCCAAAGGGACTCGGTGCAGCTTACATGAGGCCGAACCCACAATACAACAATAAACAATAGCAACAGTAATACAAAACAATAAATAAACTCATAAGCAAAAATAAGCAATAAACATTAACAATAACACGACGCGTTTAAAAACCTATAGCTGGGCCAAATGTAATAATTAATTTTTAAAAAAAATAATGCTGGGCATGACAAGGTGACATATAACTGGGATAGAAGTTTTGGAGAGGGATGAAATGTGCAGGCAATCTTAAATCACTAATAAAGTGCGTTTAGGGACATATTGCTGGGAGTTTCCTTATTCCTAAGTATGGGATAGCTTCTTATTGGTACCTCCTGTGCTTTGCTTTGCAGGTGTTTTCATTGTTTCTGCCAAGAGGACCCCGTTCGGGGCTTACGGAGGCCTCTTCAAAGACTTCACAGCTACGGACCTCGCAGAGATTGCAGCGCGGTCGGCCCTATCCGCTGGCAAGGTGTCTCCTGAAATTGTCGATAGCGTGATTGTGGGAAATGTTATGCAGGTGGGTACCCAGCAAGTGATCTGATTGTTACAGCAATGTTCTTTCTGTAGCCACACTTTCTTGCTCAGGCCCAGCAGAAACAAACTAGAGCAGGGTTCCTCAAACTAAGGCCCGAGAGTCGGATACGGCCCTCCGAGGTCATTTATCCGGCCCTCACTCAGGATCAACCTGAGTCTGAAATGACTTGAATGCACACAACAAAAACAACAACAACAATAATCCTATCTCATCAGCCAAAAGCAGGCCCAGACTTCCCATTGAAATACTAATAAGTTTATATTTGTTAAAATTGTTCTTAATTTTAATTATTGTATTGATTTAAGTGTTTTTTGCACTACAAATAAGATATGTGCAGTGTGCATAGGAATTCATTCATTTTTTTCCCCAAATTATGATCCAGCCCTCCAATAGTTTGAGCGACTGTGACCTGGCCCTCTGTTTAAAAAGTTTGAGGACCCCTGAACTAGAGCATCCATGTATCCATTTGCAAAACAATTTCCATTGGAAAGTTTTCTGTGATTGCATTTCCCCCTTCTGAATTTCTTTGAGACAGATGTATCTAAATAGATAGATTCACAACCACTCCAAAACCATTTTAATCTCGGTACAATTTAGACTGAGATGCTGCATCAGGAGACAGGGTGCATCAACACAGTAGAATTAATGCAGTGTGACACAGCTGAATGCTAAGGAATCCTGGGAGTTTTAGTTTGGTGAGGCTGTAGCACCCTTTGTGGCAGAGAAGGGTAACCGTTCTTTTAAAACTACAGCTCTCGTGATTTCAGAGTTTTAAGCAGTGTCATGCATTTATGTTGTCACTAGGGGTTTACAACAGGCTTCTTCTAAGTAACAGGGAGGATCAGAACCTTTTCTGTTACAGCTGCCCCAAGTTAACTGGGTGTGTTATCTGGTTCAGCATATAACAAGGCACTGGGTTTGCAAGTTTTTGAGCTTTGCATTTTGGCTTAGATTAACAATATCTCCAGTTAATCTTCTTCTTTACACGACAGTATGCAAACATATAGCAAAATAATACAATCTCTCTACTTAGTTATCAGTAGAATATCCTTATTTTGCCATGAACAAGCAGTTTCTCTGGCACTCCAAACTGCTTCAGTCTTCAACTTCAGGAAGCTGCATAACCACTCCCAGCAAAGTTTCTTCAGCTCAAAACGAGCCATCAAGCTAAGGGGTCGAAGTTTGCCCATGCCTGGATTAGACAGTTTTCTATATGTTGTCTGTATCTCATTTAATGTGCTTTGAGCAGAATTGGCCTAGTGACTATCCTCTTCCGGCAGAGCGCCGCAGATACTATTTATCTTGCACGCCACGTTGGCCTACGCGTCGGAGTGCCAGTCCCAGTCCCTGCCTTAACCGTCAACAGATTGTGCGGATCAGGATTCCAGTCGATTGTCAACGGATGCCAGGTACTGGATTTGCTCCTTCAGAAACCCTTTATTTTAACATGTTAATCTGGTCCTCCACCAACCCATGTGCCCAGTGCGAAGCACAACACATCAACAACAACATAATTATTATCTACTTGTGGCATTTCCAAAGGCCCTGTGCTTTGAGTATTAAGAGAGTTCTGTAACTGATGGAGGGCTACAAACCTATCTCCTTGCTCTCTGATGCCAAGATTTACTGTATACTAGCCATCCCCTGCCACGCGTTGCTGTGGCCCAGTCTGTTGATCTAGAAAATAAAGTAATGGTTTCTAATCTATGTAATTTCTTTATGCTTGTGGGTAAACAGTATTTCTTGTTGTCTCTTTGTCAGTGTTGATGTGGAGAGTGTCTGGTTTGCCTACTCTGGAACATGCAACATATAATTGTCCTTCTTTAGGGGTCCCTTTCAAATCCATGATATTATATCTCTGTGTGTGTGAATCATATATATCTATCTATATCTATGGCTGGATGGCTCTTTGTCAGGAGGGCTTTGATTAGATTTTCTTGCCCTGGTGAAGAGAGTTGGACTGGATGGCCTTAAGTGTTTTCTGTTGGTGATGAGGTTCAGCGTGGGCAATTTGCCCCAATTCTGTCGTTTGTGGGGTTCAGAATGCTCTTTGATTGTAGGTGAACTATAAATCTTAGTAACTACAACTCCCAAATGTCAAGGTCTATTTCCCCAAACCCCATCTGTGTTGATATTTGGGCATATGGAATATTTGTGCCAAGTTTGGTCCAGATCCATCATTGTTTGAGTCCACAGTGATCTCTGGATGTAGGTGAACTACAACTCCCAAATGCAAGGTCAATGCCCACCAAACCCTTCTAGTGTTTTCTGTTGGTCATGGGAGTCCTGTGTGTCACCTTTGGTTCAATTCCATCGTTGGTGGAGTTCAGAATGCTCCTTGATTGTAGGTAAACTATAAATCCCAAGAACTACAACTCCCAAATGACAAAATCAAAAAAAATTGAGTGAAGGACATACATTGGGTTGTTAGGTGTATGCTGTCCAAATTTGGTGCCAATTCGCCCACTGGTTTTTGAGTTCTGTGAATACCACAAACGAACATTACATTTTTATTTATATAGATAAAGAAGTATAAGGCCAGGAATTTAAAACATGCCATTGACATATACATGAATTTGGCATATACGTGTACATGAGTATATGCAGTACATGGCATCATAAAAGGGAGACTTTGGTAGATAATATCTCTGCTTTTTAAATTTAGAGACACTGCTATAGGCAAAACATTTTTGCATTGGAACGGCTTGCCTCTTTTTCCTGGAAAAGAAGAGGCTTGGATCCCAAATGAGGACATGGGGAAGGGGGAGGTGATGATCTTTTGAAAACTTTGCAAAAAGGTTAGTGAAACTTGTGGAAACCTGAGTTTCTGCCATACAGTCCCCACAAAACTAATACTGTGTCTACACTATAGAATTAATACAGTTTCATAGACTCTTGGAAGAGATCTCTTCAGCCATCCAGTCCAACCCCATTTTGCCAAGAAGCAGGAAAATCGCATTCAAAGTACCCCCGACAGATGGCCATCCAGCCTCTGCTTAAAAGCCTCCAGAGAAGGAATCTCCACCATACCCCGGGGCAGAGAGTTCCACTCCTGAACAGTAGGGTTGGATAAGTTCGTTCAGAAAAGCCTAAAAGTCGTAAAAAACTTCCGACTTTTGCCTTCCGAGGCAGTTTTGAACCATGCAAGAAAGGTGGGAGGGGCAAATCCAAATTTGCACCACTTACATTTTTTTGGAAATATTCCATAATGTTTGGATTTCTCCCAAGGTTATTTTATTCCTTCCTTCTCCACTTTCCCCCCTGCTTCTTGTCCCTCTGCCTTGGCTTGAGCTGGGCCAGCCACAAGAAGAGGAGAGAAGGAAGGAAAAACCAGAGAAGGAAGGAATTTCCTCAGCTTGCTTTTCCCCGCTTCTGGTCCCTCTGCCTCAGCTTGAGCTGGGCCAGGAACAAGAAGCAGGGAAAAGCAGAGAAGGAAGGAATTTCCTCCACTTCCTTTTCCATGCTTCTGATCCCTCTACTTCTGCTTGAGCTGGGCCAAGGACAAGAAGCAGGGGAAAAAAAGCAGAGAAAATTCCTTCCTTCTCTGGTTTTTCTTCCACTTCGGCTTGAGCTGGGCCAGGGACAAGAAGGTTGGGGAGGGGGGAGAGAACCTGGGAGAAGAAGAAAAAAAGGAACAACAACAACAACTTTATTTTTCTACCCCGCCTCCATCTCCTTGAAGGGACTCGGGGCGGCTTACATGTGTTCCAAGCCCAGGCAGAATACAATTAAAATAAAGCAATAACAATTAAAACAGCATAAAAACAGCATAAAACAACATAACAAAAATAGCTAGCAACAACACTAACAGCAGACTAATTTTGGAGTGGGGCAGGAAAACCACTACGTGAATTAGTTAAAGGATAAAGTGGTTTAGTAAATAGATGACAATGTAGGAGGAGCAGCTGCACAAGCAATCTGGCGGAGCTGGTGGTGCTTATTGCTGAACGGATCACCCTGATAAGTGGGGGAATACTGTACTATGATTTCTGTTCTCCTCCAATTTAACACAGTTTGTGCCACACAAATAAATTTTCCTGAGTAGAACAACTACTTTCAGAGTAAAGGCCACCCAGTGAAACAGGAAACAACACTTTCAAACCATTAATGAAAGGATTCGGAAGTCTAGGATGTTTTGTAAAGTTTTGAATTTTTTTTCTGTGGAAATCGGAAGTGACTTTAGAACCGAAGCAGCAGAGCCCCCTACATCCAAAAGGAGTTCTGAACCAATTTTTTTTTTATCAACCAAGCCTACTAAACAGCTCTCACAGTAAGGAAGTTCTTCTTGTTCAGGTGGAATCTCCTTTCCTGTAGTTTGAAGCCATTGTTCCATGCCCTAGTCTCCAGCACAGCAGAAAACAAGCCTGCTCCCTCTTCCCTATGACTTCACTTCACATCTTGATCCATGGCCCTCATCATGTCTCCTTTCAGCCTTCTCTTTGCAGGCTAAACATGCCAAGCTCTTGAAGCTGCTCCTCATAGGGCTTGTTCTCCAGACCCTTGATCATTTTAGCTGTTTTCCTTTGGACACACTCCAGCTTGTCAACATCTCTCTTCAATTGCGGTGCCCAGAATTGGACACAGTATTTCCCCATGGCTGAATGTTATTGAATCCTGAGATTTGTAATTTGGTGAGGTATCAGCACTCTTTGACAGAGAAAGCTAAATAACTTATGATACTATAATTCCTATGATTCCATAACATTGAGCCATTGAAATTATGGCATTGATTCTTCATTCATCTAGAATTGTGTCTTGACTTCCTTATGATAACAACCATCTCATTTTTCTTTGTTTGCAGCCCAGACTACTAAATGAATGGGGAATTGCCATGGATTGCTAATGTGGCCATTTTTTTCCAATCTCAAAACAGGAAATTTGCCTGAAAGAATCAGAAATAGTACTATGTGGTGGAACAGAAAATATGAGCCAGTCTCCATATGCTGTTCGAAATGCCCGCTTTGGAACAAAACTTGGAGTTGATCTCAAGGTACGGGCCAAGTTGTTTTGCCTTTGACTTTCGGTTGTGCTTGGCCGACGTATCTGAAACTGTCTTTCGTTAGAAGTATAATATAGCAGTAGAGAGTAAAAGAAAAGAGTCACAGAATAAGTGTGGAATCTAGTCCTTAGTATGGAATTCATCAATCTGATATTTCAGTTTTTTGTATTAGAAAATAAACATACAATTAATGTGTGAACCCTTGAAGAAATTGCTAAATACCATTCAGTGTAGAGTGCTTCTCCATCTGGAACAAAACAGAGACAAGATGTGCCCTCAAATCTACATAGCTGTATGGTTTTATTTTGGTGTGTTTTAAGATTGTTTCAGTTGTTAGATTACTTCTGTTTGATTTGTTTTAAATTGAACTCTCTTCACTTCTTTGCCTGAGAGCTTGTGTGGATGGGATGTATTCATTTTAATATAAAAAATGGTTTTACCAGAAAATTGACTGTGAGGACACCAGCACTTACATCATTCCTCCACTTTTACAGGATTTAGGGGCAGAGAACCCCACACAAAAGTGGAAAGTTCTCTGTTTTTTTAAAAAAAATGCTCTTTTTCTTGCCTGAAAAAACACGTCTCTAGGGCTCTTTAAGAGGTCTTCCAGCGTGATTCTGTTTGACTTTATAGTTACACTATAAGACCTAGAGATTCCTGAACAGACCATATAATTGAAAATAAATCAAATCCACAATAGTAAAATCAGCAAATGTGGAGGGATAACTGCCTCCATAATTGCATGCATGCATAAATAAATAAATAAATAAATAATAGACAGCTTCATGTAATAGTTGCACTCCTATTTTGGGGTTCCGATTTTGGTACTTATGTTTTTCTCACATAATAGTCACAACCTTGATTTACCAGGATAAGCCTCCATCCACTCACCCATCCATCTGCCCGTCCAAAGTCCCACCCACCCTCTTCACTCGCCCATCTACCCGTCCACCCAAAGGCCCCCCTCTAACCCACTCACGCATGCACTCTCTCAATTGGTCGCCCATCCACTCGCTGACCATCCCCTTCCAAGAACTCTGCTTCAAGCAATGTTCTTGGAAGGAGATGGTTACCAAATGGATGGATGATTCAATGAGTACATGAGAGGGTGTGTGGATGAGTTAGTGGAAAGCGTGCTCTCAAATTGTTTTCAACATCATTTTATTTTCATCATGTAATAGTTGCATCTCCTTTTTGAAAGGGGAGGTGAGACTATTATGCGATGATATACATGCCAGGATTAATTTAGTTATGTATGTGTTTTAAATGTGCTCCTATGTATTGCCAAAATGGATGCCACTGTGAATTAGAAATGCTGTGCAGAATGTTTACACTATGAGGCTGTGATTAAGTGAACTTGAGAAAAGTAAGATAAGGTTTGCTCTTGCTGGGAACAGGAGGGAGTAACCAGTCTCAGCAAGAGAAGATAAGCAGATGTGAAGAGGCTTTCGTTTTGACTAGTTCCTGAATTGTAGCTCGCTGTTCTGTTGAATGTTCTTAGTTTCTTTTGTAACTCAAAGCCTGCAGAGTCCTTATTTTGCAACTCAGTGTCTGCTGATCTAGCATTCCTTCCGCTGGGCATCGTCTGACTCTGACAATACAGTATGTTGCATTACTATGCTATCCTTTCTTACCAAGATGGAATATCTGTGGTACTGCACTTAGATTCTGTAGTGATGTTGTCTCTGAAGACATCCTATTGCATTGTTCTCTCCACACTTCTTTCTTCCTACAGCTAGAAGACACACTGTGGGCTGGACTGACAGATCCACATATTAAGACACCTATGGGTGGCACAGCTGAAAATTTGGCTGTACAGAATAACATCACAAGGGAACAATGTGATCAATATGCACTGAAGACACAGAAGAGGTGGAAAGCTGGTCAGTAAACTTAGAGGAGTGCCATTTTTTTTCAAAAGGGAGGGATCTAATCGCAAACAGCAGATGTGTTGTTGGATCTGTGTCTAAAATACATGTGGCCTCCGGGTATAGTTGAATTGCAACTGTTGCATGTCCTAGCCAACATGATCTTGATCACAGGTGATGGAAGGTGTAGTCCAACATCTGGAGGGCCTCATCTTGCCTGCTACATGTGGGGTTCTTTTATTGATCAGCTAGGGATACTTTCCAACCCTTCCTTGGGGACACTTTGGTGTTGACTTTCTTTCTTTTACAGCTCATGAAGCTGGCTATTTTAAAGCCGAGATGGCACCCATTGAAGTGAAAACCAAGAAAGGGAAACAGAGCGTGGAGATGGATGAGCATCCGCGACCAGACGTGACACTGGAACAACTAGCAAAGCTCCCCTTGGTTTTCAAGAAGGATGGGACGGTCACAGCTGGGAATGCCTCGGTGAGCAACCCATTATTATCATTATTTGAATCTTTTGATCCATTGTGTTCAATCTGAGAGTAACATGGAAAAAAGCTTGCCCCTCTTGTAGATCTTCTTTTGAGCCCCAATGGGATAAGATTGATCCAAACATAAACTGGGTCACATCATGTTTCCATCATTTCTCACTTAGAATGGTGCCACAGAAATGCATCTTTTGAATGAAGTTCTTCTACCCCAAGGCTGACTTTAAATCTTCAGTCTGCAAAGCAATAGGGTTTTCTTTTTCTCATCTAAGGATGCTCTCTCAGTGATTTCTGATGGAGTTGCTGTCTATTCTGTTTTGGCTTGTAGGGAGTATGTGATGGAGCTGGCGCAGTGATCTTGGCAAGTGAAGATGCTGTTCAAAAGCACAATCTCACTCCGTTGGCTAGAATAGTGGCCTACCATGCATCTGGTTGTGACCCCAACATCATGGGCATTGGTAAGTTGCACCAATACTGCATTTTCAAATAAAGGACAATCCAGGCTGTATGAAACAACTAAGAAAGACCAAGATATACAAACATAAAATCTAACCGGGAATTCTACAACATCAGTCTCTGCACGAAGAATTGTGAATCAACCATGCTACACAACTCTAGTGTTGAATAGCAGTGTCGCACAAGTGAAGCATGACACAAATGTGCAACTGTGAACGCACAAGCAGATGCCTTCACTATTCCACCTCGGTGTCTTCAAACTGCATCTGATTTATTTATCGTGTCATCCGCAACCAGAACATTGTATTACATTTCTAACAGAACAAAACAAACAAACAGATTAAAACACACACATTTTGCAAACTTGGTAGCTGATTAAATGTCCTTTGACCAGTATCTGGCCACTTGGAGTGCCTCTGGTGTTGCCGCAAGAAGGTCCTCCATCGTGCATGTGGCAGGGCTCAGGTTGCATTGCAGCAGGTGGTCAGTGGTTTGCTCTTCTCCACACTCACATGTCGTGGATTCCACTTTGTAGCCCCATTTCTTAAGATTGGCTCTGCATCTCGTGGTGCCAGAGCGCAGTCTGTTCAGCGCCTTCCAAGTCGCCCACTCTTCTGTGTGCCCAGGGGGGAGTCTCTCATCTGGTATCACCCACGGATTGAGGTGCTGGGTTTGAGCCTGTCACTTTTGAACTCTCGCTTGCTGAGGTGTTCCAGCGAGTGCGTCTGATAAAATGCAGTTAAAATAATTGGCATAATGTTTTAGATGTTTTAATTCTTTGGTTTTAATATAAATGTTTATTTTAATTGTATGTTGTTATTATTGCATTGAATTGTTGCCTATGTGTAAAGCTGCTCTGAGTCCCCTGTGGGGTGAGAAAGGTGGGGTATCTATATGGTAAATAAATACATAAATATGTCCATCTGTTTCGATAATGGGACATAGATGTATATAGGGCATCAGTAGGATTACAGGCCACAAAGAGAGAAGAGCAGAAACATATTGGTTGAAGACACTCAAGGAGGGCGACTAAAATGATCAAGGGTCTGGAGAACAAGCCCTATGAGGAGCGATTTAAGGAGCTGGGCATGTTTAGCCTGAAGAAGAGAAGGATGAGGAGATATGATAGCCATGTATAAATATGTGAGAGGAAGCCACAGGGAGGAGGGAGCAAGCTTGTTTACTGCTTCCCTGGAGACTAGGACGCGGAACAATGGCTTCAAACTACAGGAGAGGAGATTCCATCTGAACATGAGGAAGAACTTCCTGACTGTGAGAGCCGTTCAGCAGTGGAACTCTCTGCCCCGGAGTGTAGTGGAGGCTCCTTCTTTGGAGGCTTTTAAACAGAGGCTGGATGGCCATCTGTCAGGGGTGATTTGAATGCAATATTCCTGCTTCTTGGCAGGGGGTTGGACTGGATGGCCCAAAAGGATGACTGGTTTTCATCTGGAAATCTATGTCCTCAATGTAAAATACTATTTATTTATTTACAGTATTTATATTCTGCCCATCTCACCCTGAAGGGGACTCAGGGTGGATCACAGAACATACAGATGCGACAAGTATTCAATTATATACACAACTCTGTATCGTTCGCTATTTTGGGTATTTGCACTGCCCAGTATTGTCCTGGCACTATTTTTATACATGGTATTAACAATAACAAATAACACGTGTATCAGGATTATTTGACTAAGGGAAGATTGTTTGCCAAATGTAACCAGTGACAGTTGTGTATGCAAACCAAAGTTGATGTGTACAAACTCTCCATATTTGAGGTCTTTTTTTTGGCACAGATATTTTTACATTGGTCACGGAGCTCCCACTTTCATATTCTAGGCTTTGCCAACCAAAATAACTTTGAAAGAGATTTGTGGAGAAAAGGGATCTAACTAAATTAGGAATGGATAGTGTCCAGGTTCATTAAGGGCTCCGTGGCACTCTCTGGAAATCACAATGGGCAACATGACCTCTTCTGGAATGTGATGGCACCTGACAATTTTGTCATAATGCCAATCCAGCAGCTCTGGATAGTGCAGAAATGGATCTGAAAGCACCCACAGAAAGCGACAGTGAGCAAGGCCTTCTCGGTGATGGCCCCCTGACTCTGGAACTCACTTCCCAAGGACATCAGACATGCCCCAACTCTGGCAGTCTTTAGGAGGAGCCTGAAAACGTGGTTGTTCCAGTGTGCCTTCCCAGAATAAGGCCATGTTGAATGCTTTCATGGCCGGAATCACTGGGTTGTTGTAGGTTTTTCTGGGTTATGTGGCCATGTTCTAGAGGCATTTTCTCCTGACGTTTCACCTGCATCTATGGCAAGCATCCTCAGAGGTAGTGAAGTCTGTTGGAAGTAGGAAAATGCCTCAAAATGCACTTTACCACTGATTTAGGACCGACTGTGTTCCCTCATCTCTCTTTGAAAAACCCTATCATAGTTATATCCTACCTTGTTCATGCCCAGCATTATTTTTTAAATTTTAAATTATTACATTTGGCCCGGCCATAGGTTTCTTAAATGCTGTGTGATGCTGTTTATTGTTTATTGCTTATTTTTTGTTTATGTGTTTTATATTAATTGTATTGTATTTATTGCTTTTGTTAATTGCTTTTGTTTATTGATGTACTGTGGCCATGGCCTCATGTAAGCTGCACCGAGTCCCTTGGTGAGATGGTGGAGGGGTATAAATAAAGTTATTATTATTATTATTATTATTATTATTATTATTATTATTATTAAGGCTAAGCTTTTCTTTACCATTCAGAGGGGAGAATAGAAAGTTGGAGGAGGTTGCTGGCTGCAGGTTGTATCTTGCCCAACCCATTATGCAGGAAGCATTTCAAATACTTTCCTTTTAATGGAGTGTGACCGTCTCTGTGTGTGTTTTAACATAGGCCCAGTATTTGCCATCAAAGAAGCTCTGAAGAAAGCTGGACTTTCTCTGAAAGACATGGATTTGGTTGAGGTGAGGACAAACACAGGAAAAATGCATTATGTCTTATATACGATTCAGAATATTGAACCATATAACAAAGTGTGCTACAGTTCAATACAATGTCACTTTCAGTGTCCATCTCAGGAGAAGTTGCATTATAAAGGTCAAGGTTTCCCCTAACATTAAGTCTAGTCGTGTTTGACTCTGGCGGGGGATGCTCATCTCCATTTCTGAAGAGCTAGCGTTGTCCGTAGACACCTCATAGGTCATGTGGCCAGCATGGAGCACCGTTACCTTCACACAGAAATGGTACCTATTGATCTACTCCAGTGTTTCTCAACCTGGAGGTCGGGACCCCCGGGAAAGGTCATGAGGGGGTGTCAGAGGGGTCGCCAAAGACCATTGGAAAACACAGTATTTTCTGTTGGTCATGGGGGTTCTGTATGGGAAGTTTGACCCAATTCTATCATTGGTGGGGTTCAGAATGCTCTTTGATTGTAGGTGAACTATAAATCCTAGCAACTACAATTGTCAAATGTTAAGGTCTATTTTCTCCAAACTCCACCAGTGTTCACATTTGCGCATAGTGAGTATTCATGCAAAGTTTGGTCCATATCCATCATTGTTTGAGTCCACAATGCTCTCTGGATGTAGATGAACTATAACTCCAAAACTCAAGGTCAGTGCCCACCAAATCCTTCCAGTATTTTCTGTTGGTCATGGGAGTTCTATGTGCCAAATGTGGTTCAATCCTATCATTGGTGGGGTTCAGACTGCTCTTTGATAATTTTATGATTGGGGGTCACCACAACATGAGGAACTGTACTAAGGGGTCGTGGCATTAGGAAGGTTGAGAACCAGTGAGCTAGAATAAATTGAGCCCCCGGTGGTGCAGTGGGTTGGACTGAAGACCAACAGGTCACAGGTTCGAATCCGGGTAGAGCACAGATGAGCTCCCTCTGTCAGCTCCAGCTCATCATGTGAGGACGTGAGAGAAGCCTCACACAAGGATGGTAAAGCATCAAAACATCCGGGCATCCCCTGGGCAACGTCCTGGCAGACGGCCAATGCTCTCACACCAGAAGTGACTTGCAGTTTCTCAAGTCGCTCCTGACACAACAAAAAAAAAAGCTAGAATAAATATATTCCAGAAGGATTTTGATATCATTTTTCAGTAAAGTGGGTGATTTCAATGGGACCCAAATTGCTACATCTCTGCAGCAGTTTGCGTGATTATTTTTTTCCAAGTAGAAAATGTTTAAAAGCAATATATTTTGAAAACGGCCACCATATTCTCTCAATTTCCCTAGGTTATATGTTTTTTTAGTGTATGTTTTTCACCAGTGTTTTCCCACACCATTCCCAACCAATCACAGTTTTAGGTCATGACAGCCGTCTAAAATTACAGCAGTTCTGCCTCAATTGTTTCCAACCTGGCTTTCTCTTTATGTTTTCAAGGTCAATGAGGCTTTTGCTCCACAATACTTGGCAGTGGAGAAGGTTTTGGGTCTGGACCCCGAGAAAACCAATGTCGACGGGGGCGCAATCGCCTTGGGTCATCCATTGGCAGCTTCAGGCTCAAGGATCACAGCTCATCTGACTCATGAACTGAGGTGCGTAAGTGGTTGAGGGAATCCTTTGAACCATTTTCAAATTGTTTGTTTCCTTCGTTTTAATATATTAGAACTGGCATGTGGGCAAGCTTTGGCCCTCCAGGTGTTTTGGACTTCAACTCTCACAATGCATGTACTAGAAAGTGTATTTCAGAAAGGCCATAACTCAAAGGCATGAAGAATGCCTCAAGTGTAGGTCCTGGCATCTCCATTTCAGAAGGATATGGTAGTTAATGATGCTGGCCTGAAACCTTGGAGAGTTCTGGCTAGTAAGTAAATAGATAAATAGATAACCCCATCTAGGTATGTGTCAGCTTCCTATATACTCTTGCAACCAATTGGAAGATCAGTGTAGGCACTGAAATACATCTGTTGGGAAAATCTTGGCCACTCTTAATGTGATTTTTTTAAATATTTGAAAGGTTGTCACATTAAAGAGGGGGTAAGCCTGTTTTCCACTGCTCTGGAGATTAGGGCACGGCAGTGGATTTGTCAAAGTCAGACGCCAGCCAATTAAAGGAGTATAGTTTATTGTTCAAACAAACACAGAATTAGCCCAAAACAAAATCACAGGGCAAAAAACACTTAGTGAACAGTGTGAAAAAGCCCAAACAGGCAAAAGAACCCACAAAACCCCAACAGAATATAATCTGGATTAACCAGAGATATAACTTGAATTAAACTCAAAAAAATGCTTAAATGCAGCCTTTCAAGGGTTGTAAAAAGAAACCCAAGCCTCAAACACAGCAGGAACTGGTATGCAGGAATGTAGATAACACCATCTCCAGACGCTCAGCCGTAGATGTGGAGGAGAGAGAGTAACGACAGAGAATGAAGTCCTGTCCAGCCCGATCCAAAGAGAGACGAACAGCTGCAAGGTCAGGTCCCGATCCCATGGACAAACACAAGGAGCCAAAGCAGCAGGGCAATACGGCAGCTAATGCAAACATCAAAACAGTGCAGTCCAGCAAAAACCCACACAGTTCCAGCCCCCTTTGCTGCTAAAACCCAGAGCATAACTTGCGTCCCAAAGTCTTTCAAACCCGTCTTCTGTAGCAAAGATCCAGTAAGTGCCCAACAAGACTCCTTGCCGATTGCAAGGCTACAATAGCAAACACTCCCTTTTTATCTACAAGTAGTTTTCCTGCCTCTCCTAATACAACTAGTGTTACTATCACTGCCAGCAGACTCTATCACAACAGGTCAAATTTCAGGTCAAAAGATTCCATCTAAACATCAGGAAGAGCTTCCTACCATTTGACGGTCGAATAGGTTGCTTTGGAGTGTGGTGGAATCTCCTTCTTTGGAGTTTCTAAGCCGAGGATGGGTGGCCGGCCATCTCTCAGTAGTACTTCAACTGTATCTTTCTACGTGGTAGAATTGAGTTGGACTGGATGGCCATCCAGTCCCAACTCAATTCTATCACGTAGAAAGGTACAGTATTCTCTTCCAACTTCATGATTTTATGAAATGATTTTAGCCATGGAAACATATTCTGGTGGTCACTCCTGAATGTATTCACTTGGAAAGAGACACTATACTGCTCCCACACCCAGTGAGTAATCCTTGCAACCGGCCCTGCCCACTAGGATTACCGTATATACTCAAGTATAAGCCCACCTGAATATAAGCCTAGGCACCTAATTTTATCACAAAAAACTGGGAAAACGTGTTGACTCGAGTATAAGCCAAGGGTCGGAAATGCATCCACTATGGGTCAATTTCAAAATAAAAATAGATACCAATAAAATTACATTAATTATGGCAACAATATGCTAAATGTTTTTAAATATTTACATAAAACCGTAATTTAAGATAAGACTGTCCAACTCTTATTAAACCATTATTCTAACCTCCTTCAATGTAAATGTACTTATTATTAAAATAATATAATAAAAATAATATAGTAAAATAATGAAAATGCAATTAAAAAAGCAATAATAGAGTAAAATAATAAATGTAGTAATAATAGGGTAAAATACTGTAATAATAATAAAGCAAAATAACAAATAGAACAATAGAGTAAAATAATGTAAATATAATAATAATAGAGTAAAATAATAAATGTAATAAAATAAAATAATACTAATAACAGAGTAAAAGAATAAATAACCTTGACTCGAGTATAAGCCGAGGAGAGCTTTTTCAGCCTAAAAAAGGGGCTGAAAAACTAGGCTTATACTCGAGTATATACAGTAATTCTCTGTGCTCAAATATTGTGATTTTATATTGTCGGATGTGTTTATTTATAATGTTTCTTGTATTTTATTTTATTTTTTACTGTTGTATTCTTATGTTGTACATTTGCATTGTAAGCCGCCCCAAGTCCCCTTGGGGAGATGGTGGCGGGGTATAAATAAAGTTTATTATTGTTATTATTATTTGAAACACAACAAGAGGAGTCCATAGCAGACGCTCTGCTGGCTGTTGTATTGGATCACACTGTGGACACTTCCCAAGTGTCTAGGACTGTGTGATGTATTGGCAAATAATGCGTGCAGATCCCAGTATATTGTTATTATTACCATCAGCATCATCAGCATCCCATTGAAATGACCTTTTGAGCTGATGTGCAGAGTAGAAAGCTATTTCTGTGGCTGAACAAGGCTGCCTCTGGTTAGTACTTGGACGGAAGTCTCTCAGAACTCTTGACTGTGTCACCTTGAGCTCTGGGGAAGGACAGGCAAGATAAAAATAAAACCCAGCTGGTTCACTGAAACTTGGCATAGATCCATCGATTTACACGGAAGGCCAGGAAGTCATTGGCTGTGTTCCTTTTCTCCAGCGGCACGTGAGGCTGTTTGGCTACTGTTGGCAGCTGTTTTGTAGCGACATCATGACACCGCAGTTAGATAAAACTAGCAATTCTTTACTGAATTCTTTGGTGGCTGAATTTTGTTATTCACATTATTATTGCTATTGTCTTTATGTATACCCCACCTTTTCCCTAGACCACATGTATCAAACCAAGGCCCGCAGGCTGGATCCAGCCCACCATGTCCTTTCATGTGGCCTTAAACAATAGAGAGCAAGAATTCCCCGAAATACAAGACCGGAAGGCCACTATACACAAAAAAAGTAATACAGTTATGTAAGAGAATTAAGAATTAAGAATTAGTTGTTTATCCCACATAAGGAAAAAAATGGTTTAGAGAATTGCATGAAGTATATTTTGTAGAAGATGCATGTTATAGTACTATAAGCATAGATATGATATACATTATTGTGATTATATAACTGTATTACTTTTTGGTGTATAGTGGCCTTCCGCCCTTTTATGTGGCCCACCAGATTCTGGACTGCATCTGTATCATCATTATTGTCTTTATGTATACCTCACCTTTCCCCTAGACCACATATATCAAACCCAAAGCCTGCAGGCTGGATCCAGCCCAACATGTCCTTTTATGTGGCCCACTGGATGCTGGATTACAATGCGTGTATTCCTTGTCGTTAGACATCATGACTAGTGTTGGGTTATCTGAGCTGTTAGGCCCAAAAATAATGCTCCGTTGGAGTCATTCCACCATAAATATAGCACATTACAGAAATAAACTTCATAACCAGCAGAAACTTACATGTGGTGTGCTAGGATAAAGCTTTCACTCCATAAGATAGCAGAGTCAGAACTTTAGATTAAAAAATGTTTATCGAAGTAAAAGAAATACAATCTTGTTAGGAAAGGTAACTAGCTTACTAAATCTCATCTTCTAAAGAGATAATTTATTTATTATTTATGTATTTACGAGATGTATATGTCGCCCTTCTCACCCCGAAGGGGACACGGAGCGCCTTACAATATATATATATATATATATATATACACACACACACACACACACACACACACACACACACACAATATATTATATTATTAGTATAGTACAATATCAGTATTAATTATTACTATATTGTATTATACCATTATATTGTAAAATTATTAGTAATAACACATGTAATATAAATATATAATTATAATATATTATTATTACTATTAGTAGTATATTGCATTACATTATAATATATTATTAGTAGTATTACATTGCATTACATTATAATATTATAAATATTATATGTATATACAATATATTACATTGCAATATAAATAAAAAGGATAATAGGGTAAAAAGTCCATGCAGCTACAGCTGTTGATATCAGTGCATAAATGCTTTAATTATTCAGGTAGCCTCATTGCTACCTGACATGGGGACATGGGGGGCGGCGAGGGTGGTACGTGTGCAGAAAGTGGAAGGCAAAAGGAAGAGGGGCCGACCAAGGACAAGATGGATGGATGGCATCCTTGAAGTTACTGGACTGACCTTGAAGGAGCTGGGGGTGGTGACGGCCGACAGGGAGCTCTGGCGTGGACTGGTCCATGAGGTCACAAAGAGTCGGAGACGACTGAACGAATGAACAACAAAGCCTCATTGCAAAAACTACATGTGATAGAGAACAAAATAAGCACACATCTGAATTCAGCACAAAAAACACTCTAAGAATGACCTAAAATTATATCTGATGAAAAATGCTTGTTGGCTTGTGTAATAGGCTTCATCCAAGAATCCCTGGAGTTGACCACTTGCTCTAGTCCAGTACAGAGAACAAATTACTCCGGGAGGCCTTGCTATGATGTCAAGATTATTATATATTTATATCTTTAATTGCTTCTCCTTTCTTTTAGGCGTCGTGGAGGCAAATATGCAGTTGGTTCTGCTTGCATTGGAGGTGGACAAGGTATAGCGGTCATCATCCAGAATACAGCCTAAAGGACCATCTCACAGTTTAACACCAAACTGACTAAAACATGCCTTATAATGATTTAGAAGCGTGGAAGTTCAGAAATTGTGCAGTATTAACTATATGGAAAATGGAAGAAAAGAGCGCACTACTAGGCAATCTCTAATTTGTGTGAATCCTGCCATAATAATCATTGCTCTACTACCTCCTGCTCGTTAAGTTTTAATTCCTGAAGATGCCTTATAGCAAAGTTGGATCTCTCTGTTGATATTTTATCAACACTGTCTTTTCCCAAACTGTTGGATATTTCTGGTGATTTATTTTTCTGTAAAAGGTACTTCAATAAGAACTTTGCATTGCCAGAAAATGTGTATTTTCGTTGAATTGATTTGGCATGTCTGCTCGTTTGATTTTGTATTAAGACCTGAATGCAAACATGACAAAGCCAATGTGCCTCTCAATAGAAAAAAATTAAATGATACTAAATTAAACCAAATAATTTCATGTGTGTTTTGCATTGTATTATGAGTACACATTAGTCATGGGCCCAAAATTTGTCCCATCCATTTGATTCGTGTTTCCGTTTTGTTCCGTCCATTCGGAAATGAGGAGGCCCCTCTTGAAATGAAAATAGACTCGAAAAGAAAGGCAGGCGGGAACGGGTACCGGCTCCAAGCCTGCTTTTTTTGATTGATTGCCACGCGGTTAGGGCCCAAAGTGCCAGGGCCTACAGCCCGGCGCTGAATAAAAGGAGCGCTCCTAACTTGACACTCAGCTGCATGAACCCCAGCACTTTGAGACAACGCGCCCAGGCCTATGGGTGAAGTCCCTTTACCTAATAATTAACCAAAAGAAAACTGATCTTTTGGCCCCAAAAACAGAAAACAGGTGCGTGATCTCCCGATTTTGGGAGGCTCAGATGAAACTGATTTGGGGGGGGGGGGGTACCGAAAGCCAGACCACAAAATGGGTGAAGGTAAGCCCCAAATGCACATGACTAGTACACATTTAAATCCTGTGATTTCTGAAAGAACAATTGTGAATTGTGGCAATATATGTGAGCATTGGAGCCATCAAGCCAGTTCCTTGGCAGCAATAACGCTTTATTTATTTATCGTATCAGGAGCAAACCAAAACAGTTGTATTGCATTAAAAACAAACAAAACAAAACACAAAGTTTGCAGACTTGGTATTCTATTAAATGTTCTTTGACCAGTAGCTGGCCACTTGGAGTGCCTCTGGTGATGCTGCAAGAAGGTCCTCCATTGTGCATGTCACCCAGTTTTCTGTGTGCCCAGGAAGGAGTTTCTAATTTGATATCAGCCATTGATTGAGGTTCTGGGTTTTAGCCTGCCACTTTTGGACTCTCGCTTGTTGAGGTATTCCAGCGAGTGTCTCTGTAGATCTTAGAAAACTATTCCTTGATTTAAGTCATTGGCGTGCTGGCTGATACCCAAACGGGATGGGCCAAAGATGTCACTGCCTTGGTCCTTTCACTATTGGTTGCTAACTTCCCGGCGGATGTCAGGTGGTGTAATACCGGCTAAACAGTTGACAGGAAGCTTCCCACCAGAGTGGAAATCATCTATTGGACAGATGGCAAGCTATTTAACCTCAGCAGACTGAAAGCCAAAACCAAGGTTACAACAACATCTGTTATAGAACTCCAATATGCTGATGACAACATCATCTGTGCGCATTCAGAAGAAGACCTACAAGCCACTCTAAACACCTTCGCAGAAGTATACGAGAAGCTCAACCTGTCATCGAACATCAAGAAAACCAAAGTGCTGTTCCAGCAGTCACCAGCCAACCCCTCTCCAATGCCAGAAATACAGCTTAATGGTGTAACATCAGAAAATGTTGACCATTTCCGCTACCTTGGCAGCCACCTCTCCACAAAAGTCAACATTGACACTGAAACACAACACCTCGTGAGCTCTGCGAGTGCAACTTTTTTCCGAATGAAGCACAGAGTGTTTGAGGACCGGGACATCCGTAGGGATAACAAGGTGCTTGTTTATAAAGCCACTGTCCGCTCAACCCTGCTCTATGCCTGCGAGACGTGGGCAGTCTACAGACGTCACATGCAACTCCTGGAACGATTTCATCAGCGCTGCCTCTGAAAAATCCTGCAAATCTCTTGGGAAGACAAGCAGACAAATGTCAGTGTGCTGGAAGAAGCAAAGACCTCCAGCATTGAAGCGATGGTCCTCCGCCATCAGCTCTGCTGGACCGGCCACATTGTCCGGATGCCCAACCACCATCTCCCAAAGCAGTTGCTTTACTCCGAACTCAAGAATGGAAAACAGAATGTTGGAGGACAGGAAAAGAAATGTAAAGATGGCCTTAAAATCTCTGGCATAGACACTGAGAACTGGGAAGCCCTGGCCCTTGAGCGCTCCAGCTGGAGGTCAGCTGTGACCAGCAGTGATGTAGAATTTGAAGAGGCATGAATGGAGGACGAAAGAGAGAAACGTGCCAAGAGGAAGGCGCGTTAAGCCAACCCCGACCGGGACTGCCTTCCACCTCGAAACCAATGCCCTCACTGCGGGAGAAGATGGAGATCAAGAATAGGACTCCACAGTCACCTACGTACCCACCGCCAGTACACCGATCTGCTAATTAGCAGTTGTACCAATAATTCTAGGGAGGGATGCCTGATGTGTATTTATATTTACAATTGAAAAAGTCTTCCTGATATTGCTTCTCAAAGTGATATCCAGCCACAAGGTGGTGCTTTTTCATCACATTGCAAAGACGTCGTCCGCACACACAATTAAGTTACTCATGACCCAACAATTATGGGCAACTTTTACTCTCAGCCTCAGCTGAGAGCAATGTTTCTGTAACAAGTTATGTCAAGAAAATTCCATGATTTGCTTAGGGTCACAGTAAGTCAGAAAGATGGAAGCTGGCCATAGAGGTATGCTGGAGAGCTCAGAGATTCCGAAGGAAAACATATTAATCAAATCCACAAAGAACACTCTGTGACACGAGGTTTGTTCCTGAGTTATAAATGTCATTTCCTAATTGGTTCTGTCATAAAAACATGGGAATAGTTTATTAAACTGCAATTTTTTTGTTTTTGTGGGACATCTTGCAGCACATTTAGCTATAGTTTTTCAATGAGTATCTCTACTTCCATCACACTAGAAAGAAAAATTACTTTAAATCCTGTTTCTGCCTCCTACAGAATTCTGGGGTTTGTAGTTTAGTGAGGCTTTTAAAGGGTCCTCTCTAAACTACAAACCCCAAAATTCTGCAGGAGGCAGAAACTGGATTTTAAGTGGAATTTTTATCTAGTGTGATGAAAGCTTCTCAACCAATTCAACAGAGTTTGTGGCAACCACAAAAACCAAGTTTCATCCTATATATGTGTGTGTGTGTGTGTGTGTGTCTATTTAAATTTTTATATTGGTATGTGTTCATATGTTTTATGTAATTATGATATTGTTTGAGTTTTCGGTTGTGTGCAAATAAAGTATGTGTATGTGTATATATATATATATATATATATATATATATATATATATATATTTGCCGTCCCCTGCCACACATTGCTGTGACTGTCTGTGTATATGTGTTTTGTATGTGTATATTTGTGTATATGTGTGTGTGTATTAGTGTATATGTGTTTATATGTGGTTTTGCACATGCGTTGTAATGTTTTTTGGGGTTTTTTTGGGTTTTTTTGCTTTTTAAGTTTCTTCCGCTGTGTTTTTCAGTGTTTTTATGAGTGATGGTCATTCATTGGCCTGATAGGTGTATTGTGTCCAAATTTGGTGTCCATTAGTCCAGTGGTTTATGAGTTATGTTAATCCCCCAAACCAACATTACATTTTTATTTATATAGATGTGTGTGTGTATATCACTTTTTAAAAAATCAATTTAAATTGTATTTTTAAAAACCCAAGTTTATGGAGTTTAACAACTACTTTCAAAGTAAGTACCGCACAATTAAAGAGGAAATAACACTTTAAAATTAGTAACAAAATTTGGTTCGAATTTTGTTACATAGTGTAATCTAATACGCAAAAGTTAAATCTGCAAATGCTGAATACTGTACTCCTACAGTATTGAACAAAACTCAGATTGCAGCAATTAAAATAAACCTAGAGCAAATTTGCCCAAATAAACTCTACAGCCAGGAAATCAGGAGACGCTCACTTCTTGGGAGGAGAGCAATGTCCAATCTCGATAAAATGGTGAAGAATAGAGACAACACACTGGCAATGAAGATCTGCATAGTTAAAGCAATAGTATTCCCTGTAGTCACCTACGGATGTGAGAGCTGAGAGGAAGGCTGAGAGAAGGAAGAGAGACGCTTTTGAACTGTGGTGCTGGAGGAAAGTTCTGGGAGTGCCTTGGGCCGCGAGAAGATCCCACCAGTCCATACTTCAGGAAATAAAGCCTGACTGCTCATTGGAGGGAAGGATATTAGAGGCCAAGATGAAGTACTTTGGCCACATCATGAGAAAAAAGGAAAGCTTAGAGAAGACAATTACGCTTGGGAAAATGGAAAGAAAAAGGAAGAGGGGCCGACCAAGGGCAAGATGGATGGATGGGATCCTTGAAGTGACTGGATTGACCTTGAAGGAGCTGGGGGTGGTGACGGCCAACAGGGAGCTCTGGCGTGGGCTGGTCCATGAGGTCACGAAGAGTTGGAAACGACTGAACGAATGAACAACAACAAATATGAACACTTGGTGGCATTGTTTTCAAAGGATATTTCTCCTTTGAAAACCAACCAGACTTCACTGTTTGCAAGATTATGGAATTGCACATCTCTCTTCTTGTATTCTTAGTGTTTGCACAAGGTTTCTCTCAAGTTTCTGGGCTTTGAGAAAATAACTCCACAAATACCTTCTGTTTTCTTTCCCTCTACAACTGAGCTTGAAAGAAGATTCCCTCATATAACTGCTCAGACCTTCCCCAAACTGGATTCACTAGGATACTTGGGTAAGGATTTGTCTCCGCAGGGAACCGATCAGTCATTATTTGGAAAGGACATAGTTCTGCCGTTGGAGAAGACTTCTCCTCCCTTTCAGGTCTATTACAAGTGACCTTAATAGAAAATTAAATGGTAACTTTCCAGAGCTACACATCTTCTAACACACTTGTTTCTACCTCAGTGAGTCCAAACAAGCATTTCATTAGCGTCAATTTGACACAAGTTTTTAATCATCCCAACTATTTTGTCTAGCTGTTCAAGAAGGGCTTTGTTTAGCAGCATGGTCAGCCGTATCATAGTACCTCGCTTTGTATCTCTTTCGCTCTCATTTAATTGTCCCTGATAAGACGACTCAGAAATCCCTACAAGTCAATCTCTCTTGCTGAAGATTCATATTTTTCTTTTAAAGGGTTGTTCCAATTCCAATGTTTCCTCTGCTTTGTATAATATTGTTACAGCTTGGGAAGGGAGTCTACCAGTCCGTTCTCAATGTTTGAAAGAGGCAGATGACCTAGAAAAAAAACCCTATCCAGACAATGGGGATT